TCCAATTCCTTTGCGAATTTCTTGAATGAGAATGAAGCGAAAGGATTGTTATCTGATATGATGGTTTCTGGTCTTCCATGAGTTGCGAATAGGGTTTTGCAGACATCAATGACTGCTTCTGCTGACTTACTAGCAAGTTGATTTATCTCGAGCCATTTACTGTAGGAGTCATAAGTGACTAGAAAATCTTTTCCCGCGTGGGTTGCTATATCCATGGAGATTCTTTGCCAACGCCTAGTTGGTAGCTCATGTGGATGCAGTGGCAATTTCATGTTTTTGGGCTGGAACTTGCTGCAGGTTATGCATCTCTTCACTACTAGTTCCACATGGTCGAGTATCTTCGGCCAAAAAAATGCTTCACTTGCCCTTGATTTTGATTTGTCCATGCCCATATGACCCTTGTGAATTAAGTTGAGAACTGGAACTCTAAGTGCTGGTGGGACTACAATTCTAATGTTTCCATCTTCATTTAGGTAGATAATTCCATCTTCACTGAACAGCTCATTCCTCACTCTGAAGTATGGCATGAGTGCTTCAGGTAGTTGTCCTATGTGCTTCGGCCATCCAGTTTTGATGTAGTTCATGATTTGCTGGTAGTTCTTGTCTTTTTCAGTTTCTTTCTTCAAGTCCACCCGTAGATTCTTATTCATAGGCAATTCCAATGCAATACTGTGAACGATTTCTAAGTGAGAGTCGTCGTCAGCTTGAATATCTGTTGCGGTCCTGGAAAACAAGTCAGACATGTACATATGTTTTCCTGGTACATGGACTAGCTTCAGATCATACTTAAGTAATTTTAGTCTCAATCTTTGTAGGGTTTTAGATCCTAATTTGTGAATTTCTTTGCCAAGCATGGGGACAAGTGGAAGGTGATCAGTTTGCACCTCCACATGGTATCCATAAATGTAATTATGAAATTTGCTTGTTGCAAATGTTATTCCTAGAAGTTCTTTCTCACTCACACTGTAATTCTTTTCACTGTCTGACAGTCCCCTTGATGCGAAGGCCACTGGACGATTTTTCTGAAGGAGACAGCAGCCTAGTCCTGATTGCGATGCATCGGACTGAATGATGATTTTTTCATCGGGATTGAAGTTGGACAACACTGGAGCAGAAGACAACAACATTTTTAACTTATTAAAGTCAGCGGTGTGGGGCTCTTCCCAGATCCATTCAGCATCTTTTTTTAGAAGTCTCCTCATATTTTCAGTTAGCTTGCTCATCTGGGGAATATACTCCCGTACATAATTAAATGTGCCAAGTACAGATTGTAATCCTTTTCTAGATTTGGGGGGTTCAAGCTGCATGATTGTTTTAATTCGTTCTGGATCCACTGCCATCCCCTGATTTGAGAAAATATGCCCCACATACTTTACTGTCTTCTGTTTATACTGCAGTTTTTCAGGGTTAAATTTTACATTAAGTTCACTAGCCCTTTGAATTAGCTTCTTCACCGCCTCATCATGCTCAGCCTCTGTTTTCCCAAATGCCAAAACATCATCAAAATATATGAGAACATTGTCCAAGTCCCCAAAACACTTCTCATTAAGTTTCTGAAATAGTTCAGGGGCTGATGCCAACCCGAAGGGACACCTGAGGAACCGATATAGTCCAAATGGCGTTGCAAAACAACATTTGTAACTGGATGCTTCATCCAGCTGAATATGATAGAACCCATCCTTTAGATCCAATAGAGTATAATACTCTTGGTGGCTCAGGCGTTCAGAGATTTCAGATACAGTTGGTATAAGATGAGGCTCTCTGATAATTGCATTATTTAAATCTACAGGGTCAAGACAGATTCTGATACTGCCATTGGGCTTGTTGACTATTACTATGTTGCTTACCCATGAGTCTTCTGTGAGGTGTTCAACTTTTGCAATAACTCCCCCAGCTTCCATCTTGTCCAAGGCCGGTTTCAATTTGTCATTAACAGTTTTTGGTCTTCTTATCACAGGGCACACCACTTGTTTGGCTTCCGGCTTGGTTAATATAGGATGATTCCCAGGAAATGAGCCAACTCCCTTAAATACATCTTGATGTTCTAGGATAAAGTCTTCTTTACTGTTTACTGTAGTTGTGCTGTCCACTGCCATTACCACTCTCTTAATTAGTCCGAAATCCTCACAGTCATTCAGTCCAAACAAAGGCTTCTGTCTGTCAGGACTTACAAGATATTTGACCATCCTAACTTGTCCTCCTACCTTGGTTCTAAGCGTAATTTCACTGACTGGAATAGGTGGTGATTTTTCTCCGTAAGGTTTCAGGTGATATTTTGATGGCTCCAATTTCTTCCCACACTTTAGAGATTCGAAGTTCTTCATTGGTAATATGGATTGTCTAGTGCCAGGATCCAGTTTGAAGTTGATATTTTGGCCTTCAACTTGTATTTCTTGAGTGTATTCATTGAGCTGTGCCCTCTCTTCTTTATTAACTCTGATAGAGTCTGTGCAGACTTCAAGCGAGTCTGTGAATAAGTACTCATATGCTTCATTATCCTGACTTTTCTCTGTTTCAACGTGATCTGTTTTAACTGCTGGTTTGCTTCTACATACTTGAGCAAAGTGGTTCATGCCCTTGCACTGTCCGCACTGTTTTCCAAATGCTGGGCATCTAGGTGGATAGTGGTTGTACCCACATCTCGTACACTTAGGATGGTTGTTGTAGTTACCCTTCTGTTGCTGATAGGAGCTGTTGTTGCTTCCTTTATTTTGCTGATTTAAACTGTTGTTTTTCTGGAGTTGGTAATTATTTCTCTTCTTGTTGACTGAGTCTACCTCTTGTGGTACAACTGCTTGAGCTTGCTGTAGACAGTCCATATACTTTCGGCCAGCTTCTGTGTTTCTGCATTCTTCTATAGCTCCTTTGAGGTCTAACTTCTTTATTCTCAGTAGGGTTTGTTGAGTCTTTTTCTCGTAGATGCCCTCAACGATTCTGTCTCGAAGGAGGCCGTCTTCTAATTCTCCTCCGCCAAATCCACAATCTTTGATTCTTTTCTTTGCTTCTGTTAAAAAATGGTCGAACGTCTCTCCTTCCTGTTGCCTTGTTTTGTTAAATATGAATCTAATGTACGTTTCATTCTTTTCCGGTGCTGCATAACTTTCAAACTTCTCAACTAGCTTGCTATAGCTGAATTCATCTTCATCTGACAGATCAAAAGTATTAGCTACGTTGATCGCCTCTTCTCCTGCTATATTTAACAGCAATTGTCCTAGCTTGGTGTCATGACTCTTCTTTTCAGCTGCGTTCATGCCATCGGTGCTGGTTTCTCTTCCAATTGCTCCCAGATAAATTTTAAAACTCTTGTGGAATTTCTTCCAATTCGATGGGATGTCTCCCTCAAAACTCATCGGAGCGGGCAGATTAGCAACAGCCATACTTGATGACTTGACGTAAGCAGCACACGTGTTTCTTGAGGTTAGGGCTTCTAACCAGCTTAAAATTGGTTAAAATCGTTAAAATCACTAAAACGACTTCCAAGATTAATTTACTTTTAAAATCACTCTTCCTTCCCTTCGTCTAAGACTGCGCCATGTTTAAGTTTTCAATACTTGTAAAATAAGTAGGTTCAGGGAGGAAGTGACTGGTACAAGATTCCACTGAAGACTGCTTTATTCTAGTTATGTTGGCCAACATTACACCTTCGGTCACAGCCTTCTAACATATATACAACAGAGGGCATATCATAGAAATTGTGAGATCGATGCTCTAATACATGGAAGCCCCAAAGGTGCTAAAAATCATTAAGCGCTTGTGAGTTATGTGAAAGCATTTGTTAAATCACAGATCCCTTTACACCTTTTTCTAATGCGCATCCTAACACGTTTGTTTTTCCGGTGAATATTCGGGGGTGGGGGTGAGAGGGGGGTGCGGCTGAGTGCCGGGCGACGCCACCGCCACATCCGTGCCACCCTCGCTGACGTGCATAACCTCGTTATGCACTTGGCGGGGAATTATGCTAAATGTGAACCTCGGCGCGCTTTTGGACGCTGAGGACTGGAAGGGGGGGGG